GAGTGCAGTGGCGTGATCTCAGCTCACTGCAAACTCCACCTCCCAGGTTCAAATGATTCTCCTGCCTCAGCCTCTCGAGTAGCTGAGATTGCAGGCATGCGCCACCATGCCCGGCTAATTTTTGTATTTTTAGTGGAGATGGGGTTTCACCATGTTGGCCAGGCTGGTCTCGAACTCCTGACCTCAGGTGATCCACCCGCCTCGGCCTCCCAAAGTGCCGGGATGACAGACATGAGTCACCGCGCCCGGCCTGGTCCGTCTGTCTGTTCTCCCATACCTCCCACCACTTGCTCAATGACCTGGGGTCTTCTCACCACCGCACCCCCATCCCCCAAAAAGAAAAGAGCTCAACAATTGAACCACAGGACGGCAGTCACGTCCCACATCCCACCCTCACGCCCAGCCACTGTCCTGCCCACGCAGGCGGAAGCTTTCAACTCTCTGCCTCCTACTTGGGGGGCGAAGAGATGCGCTTCCCTGCTGGACTTACAGAGCACCCACCTGCTTAGGGGCCAGGAGGTCCTCTTCCCTGCTGGACTTACGGAGCTGCAGGGACACACAGAGCTGGACACCGGATCCCTTGCCCACCCTCCATCACTTCCCCCCAAAAGTCTCCCCTACTCACAAGCAGTGAGATCCCCCATTTCCCATTAGGAGCTCCCCCGAACCCCAGGTAAGGAGGCTGTTAGGAGGCCCTGTGGCCACATGGTGGCGCTGTCGGCTCGGGACTGAATGGGGGGCCCGAGGGGCGCAAGCTGGGGGGTCAGGATCCCCTTTCCGGGGATCTTCCGAGGCGGGCAGTAGCCGGCAGCCGCAGGTGAAAGCTCTGGGGCCTCCCTGGGCCCCGCCACTGACCCGCTTCTTGTAGTAGATGCGCCACTTGTGGTATTCCCGCATCACCACCTCGATGCGCCGCTTCCAGTAGTTCCCCTCCAGGACCACGGCCTGGGGTGGGGGCCGGGGGAGGGGGATCAGTAGGGAGGGGAGCACCGCACACCCATCTCCCACCCTTCACCCCATCCCTGTCTGCCCAGCTCAAGGCTACAGCAGGCAGGGGCTGGTCTTGTGGGTGGGCAGGCGAGCAGGTGGGCAGGCGGTCCAGAACCCAGCTACCTCCGGCTTCCGGTGCGCATCAGCCTCAGGCCCCTGCAGGGGGGTCACGAAGCCACACACGGGGCTCTTCCTCCGCTCCACATCTGAGAGAAGGGGGCCAGGTTAGGGGCACCCAGCTTCCTCATCCCCCACCTCATCCCAGGAGACTGGGACTCAAGTGACACCCTACGAAATCCTGCTTGGCCTTGGACGTTCAGATTAAGTGCCCATGCTGCCTCCTCCAGGAAGTCTTCTCGGAGGATGCGGATGCGATAACCTCCTAGATCTTTTTTTGTTTTTTTTTTTGAGATGGAGTTTCACTCTTGTTGCCCACGCTGGAGTGCAGTGGCGCGACCTCGGCTCACTGCAACCTCCGCCTCCCGGGTTCAAGCGATTCTCCTGCCTCAGCCTCCTGAGTAGCTGGGACTACAGGCACCCACCACCATGCCCAGCTAATTTTTGTATTTTTAGTAGAGACGGGATTTCACCATGTTGGCCAGGCTGGTCTTGAACTGCTGACCTCAAGTGATCCACCTGCCTCAGCCTTCCAAAGTGCTGGGATTACAGGCTTGAACCACTGCACCCAGCCTGATCTTCCTCTTCTAGGGGGCACTGTGAATCCAATCTCCCACACCTTCTCTGGGTCCCTCTGGAGCCCCGTAGGTACACTGGCAAAGACTGCTGAATGGATTGTGGGACCATAGACCACAGAGAGCAAGCTGCCTCCAGAAAGTCCCAGTTAGGGCCGGGCGCGGTGGCTCACGCCTGTAATCCTAGCACTTTGGGAGGCCTAGGTGGGTGGATCACGAGGTCAGGAGATCAAGACCAGCCTGGCTAACATGGGAAACCCCGTCTCTACTAAAAATACAAAAATTAGCCGGGGAGCCGGGCGTGGTGGCTCAAGCCTGTAATCCCAGCACTTTGGGAGGCCGAGACGGGCGAATCACGAGGTCAGGATATCGAGACCATCCTGGCTAACACAGTGAAACCCCGTCTCTACTAAAAAAAATACGAAAAACTAGCTGGGCGAGGTGGCAGGCGCCTGTAGTCCCAGCTACTCGGGAGGCTGAGGCAGGAGGATGGTGTGAACTCAGGAGGCGGAGCTTGCAGTGAGCTGAGATCCGGTCACTGCACTCCAGCCTGGGTGACAGAGTGAGACTCCGTCTCAACAACAACAACAAAAAATTAGCCAGGCATGGTGGCGCATGCCTGTAGTCCCAGCTACTCAGGAGGCTGAGGCAGGAGAATTGCTTGAACCCAAGGGGTGGTGGAGGTTGCAGTGAGATCACACCACTGCACTCCAGCCTGGTGACAGAGCAAGAATCCATCTCAAAAAAAGAAAGAAAGAAAGAAAGAAAGTCTTGGTTAGACCGGGAGGCCAGGGGCCTAGAGCCTTGGGTCCTCTGCCTCAGGAGGCTTGGCACTACCCACTTTCATTGCAGAGAACCACCCTTGGTTCACTTCTGATCACCAACCTGCGTCCTCTTCCAGGCCTCCACCTCCCCTCCCAGTCTCCAATCCTGACCTCTCCCCAGGCTCTTGCCCTTGGCCCCAACACACATTCCAGGCTCTTTTTGGTTTTTGTTGTTTTTTCTGAAACAGGGTCTTGTTCTGTTGCCCAGGCCAGAGTGCAGTGGTGCAATCATAGCTCACTGAAGGCTTCACCTCCTGGGCTCAAGCGATCCTCCTGCCTCAGCCTCTGGCGTACACCACCATGTCTGGCTAATTTTTAAATTATCTGTAGAGACGGGGTCTCCCTGTGTTGCCCAGGCTGGTCTCGAACTCCTGAGCTCAAGGAATCCTCTTGCCTTGGCCTCCCAAGGTATTGGGATTACAGGCATGAGCCACTGTGCCTGGCCTCTTCTTTTTTATTATTGTTATTTTTAATTTTTTGGTAGAGACAGGGTCACACTATATTGCCTGGACTGGCCTCGAATTCCTGAGCTCACCAGGCTTTTCTTTATCTCCTAGCTTCCCTGGCCACTTTTTTTTTTTTTTTGAGATGACATTTTGCTCTTGTTGCCCAGGCTGGAGTACAGTGCCACGATCTCAGCTCACTGCAACCTCCACCTCCCGGGTTCAAGCGATTCTCCTGCCTCAGTCTCCCAAGTAGCTGCGATTACAGGCAGGCGTCACTACGCCTGGCTAATTTTTGTATTTTCAATAGAGACATGGTTTCACCATATTGGTCAGGCTGGTCTCAAACTCCTGACCTCAAATGATCTCCCACTTCAGCCTCCCAAAGTGCTGGGATTACAGGTGTCAGCCACCGCACCAGGCCCTGGCCACTTTGTGTATGTGTGTGTGTGTGCGCGCTTGAGACAAGGACTCAATCTTTTGCCCAGGCTGGTGTGTGTGTGTGTGTGTGTGTGTGTGTGTGTGTTTGAGACAAGGACTCAATCTGTTGCCCAGGCTGGTGTGTGTGTGTATATGTGTGTGTGTGTGTGTGTGCTTGAGACAAGGACTCAATCTGTTGC